TTAAATATATATATATATATATATATATATATATAAATATATGCAACACATTATGAAATAAGCATTCAAAATTATTACTCAAGTTCAAATTTATTTGAATAAACTCCAAAAAGTTAATAAAAAGATGATCCATCCAACAACCAACTAGTCTTCAAACTTGAAAAAGTAGACAGAACATCCAAATGAAAATTGAAAATAGAAAGTATCATTCAACTTCCACATTCACGACGTCTCCTCCACTAACCAAAGTAGTCTTCAATAATGGTTCATCAGGTGAAAGGTTAATTAGCAATTTCAAGCATCCTGACACTTTCTTCACTCAAGTTATCAAGGTCATCTCCTCCAACATCCCACAATTGAGTAATACTTTCTTTGTAGGTTGAGCTATTCCTTGATAAAGACGAAGATTATTATGCACAAATACCAAATCCTCGGCTCTTTGTGGGGTAATCTTGTTCTTTCTCAGAGAATGAATAAAATTTTATGTACTCCAATTTCTTTCACAACAAGAGGAGGAACAAAGTTGTCAAGTAGCTCCAACGCTATGGAATGGAGACTAGGTGTAGAAGCTCCATAGACAATCCACCACATCACTGGTTCCTAATGAAACCTATCATTCATAGAATCAATAGCTCCAAATCATTCAAGCACATAGAGAAAGAGGCATACTCCACATTGATATTTCTTCTAATTTCCTCATTGAAAAAGTATCTCTCAAAGCACTTTTTCCTTTCAGTTGTAAGCTCCACATCTCGGCGTGAAGCAACACGACTAGTGTCTTCCTGAAGCCATTCTCAACTATAATACCTAAAATAAAAGAAATAGCACTTTGAAAATATAATCATAAAGCTAAAGATAAATTTAAAAGAATTTACAAGGAAATTAGCAAAATCATTACCTTGGATTTAATGAATGTCCTAAACAGTGAAGTGGCATTTTACTTTTAGTCAATCGCTCCAATAAAATACGATACACTGCATCAAGAAAACTGTTATTTTCATGAAATGCCTTGCACTTATTCTTGTAGATAGTAGCTTTCACCTTTTTAATCATAGCATCCCACCACTCATACACCAAGTGAAGACAAGGTTTATTTGTGTTAGCCATTTTAGAATCTCATATATTGGAGTTGTAAAGAAAATAATATAATCAATCTTCTCCCAAAAATACTCTTCCAATATCTTTTGCTTCACCATCATTGTTTTAACCAAATCATTTTCTTTGTACAAAGCCCAATATGGACTAATCACCATTTGTTGTAAACCTTCCCTTACTTCCTTAAACTTCTAAGCATCACAAGTGTGGAAGCAAATCTGAAAAATTTAAAAATTAGGACAGCTCATAATTGAACAAGAAAATTAGGACAGCTCAACAATGGAAAGCAACTTTAGTTTGCAATGTTCATTAAACATAGGCAATCTCATGTTATGGTTAATAATAAAAAAATTTATGAACTAAGCATCACTAGCAATAGTTGAAATCCACTTGCATTCATCATACCAAACATTTTGTTTCGGCGAGCATATACTCTTCAAAGTAAGATTAAGAGTGTGAACAACACAGGGTGTCCAAAAGAACTTGAGATTGTGGGCTTCAATAAGTAACCCAGCAGCTTTACAACATTTTCATAACCAATTTCTTTAATAGCAAGTTGGCAATATAATGCTTGTCTTATTCACCTTCACAGTTAATTGCCCTTAAGAACATAGCCCGCTTTCACAAGTTGTCATAATATTAATAAGTGGTCTCCCTTTTGCATCTGTCCACCCATCACTGCACAGACTTACACTTTTAGTGCTCCATGTGAGCTTGATTGGTTGGAGGCACCACTCAATGTGACTCTTCTTTTGTTGCAGAAGAGTAGTTCTGAGTGCATTGTAACATAGTGGAATATACACTGAAAGTGTAGAAGCACGCAAATATAAGTTACGATAGTGCGAATTTCTTGCAAGGTTAAATGATAAGCCACTTGTGTAAAACATCCTTGCAATTTCAACATCACATTGTTCTCAAGCCTTCTTGTTAAAAGCTTTACTGAGAGGCCCACTTGTTCCATTTCTCTTCTTTGGATAAAGATTCACTTCAGGTAGATCATAACCAAAAGAACCAGTATTGGGCAAAGAAACATGCATAAGAGCAGAACCCTTCAACTTACATTGGCACTTTAGAACTAACTTTTCATTTCTAGAAGAGTTTCATTAGTAGCCTTGTTGCAAGACGCGATCTCATTTCCAAACATTTTTAACAAATGAAACTTGACCCTAGAGTAGAATATATAAAAATATTATAAGAGATAAAAAAAAACGCATCAAGAAAGCATATATAAGAATATTATAATCTAAATTACTCCGGTCTACTATACAATAATATTATTACAATATGCAAAAGCAGAAAAGGAAAAGAGGGCTTTTCGTTCAAAGATGGGTTTTGGCCTCAGAAAAGCAAAATGGGAATCAGATTATGCATCGAATGGAGAATCACCGAATCAGTAAAGCAAAGGAATCAGATCAGGAAAACATCGAATTTATTATCAAAATGAAAACGAAAGCTTAAGGAAAGCATGGAATTCGAAACCCAACTCTCACCAGCAGTTGTAAAAGATACGACGCAGTAGTTGCAGACGGAGACAACAAATCAGTTGCAGGTGACAGTTAATGGTGAAAGCCTCTCCCAAGGAGTGATTTTTGAGATTCGAGTTGGGAAAAATAGGTAGATCCAAATTTTGTACACAAAATCGTTTTGAATTTTTTTTTTTTGTTAAAGAATCATTTCAATTTAGCAACCTCCAATCAATCACGATTATGCAAATTAGTGTAATTATTTTTTACTTATTTTTTCTAATTATCTTCTGATTTTACTTTGAAACGTATCTCAAAAGTAGGATACTCATATCTCGACACTAGAATATGCGTATCCCATTAGTCAGCAACGTATCCGCATACTCCACTACGTATCGGGTGCTTTTCCTCTACGTATCCATATCCCCGCTTGTCAGATATGGAATACGTTAGCTTTTTCCCGTGTTCATGCATCGTAGCTTCTCATAAAGGGGTGAGACTTATGTATATACATAACGCACACGGGCGGAAGTCTACACCACCCCTTGTGAGGAAGCTGCCACACTCCACTTCTTGTGAAAGGATTGCCATATACTAAAATGTCTTTGTAATAGGTGAAACTTAAAAATAAATAGAAAAGTTGGACTTTGCTTTCAATCCAATTCAGATAATTCTTCGAAGGACGTCATGTTCCATGTCTTAATTATGGGGTAGCCACTAATTTTTCTCATCATTTAAAGCACACACTCGTGATCTCGTGCACCCATGAAATTGTTGACGTCCTCGTAAGACCACATCCATGTGAAATTGATCAAGTCAAGTTGCATATATTGTATAAGTATACGTCCATAGGGTCATTGTAGATACATTTAGTGGTGAATGGCGAAGAAAGCAACCAACGAAGACTTTGGATGCACATAATTACTTTTTAATGCTTTTAAATTTTAATCTAGACTGTTTATTTTAGGGTTCAATGGATTAGGGCTGAGTTCAATATCATTCGGTTTGGTTTTTGGCAAAACCGAAAACTGAACCTAAGTTACTGATCAGTTTGGTTCAGTTCGATTTTCTGTTAGTTTTCTTCAATTCAGTTTTTGGTCGGTTCTATTTTTTTCAGTTCGGTTCAATTTTTTTTTTTTTTTTCAAAGTAAGAAAAATTATCAAGATCAATATAAAAACAAGCATTCCAACTTGAATCAAAGACATTAAAATCAAAGTTCAAACATTCAAAGTTCAACTATAATCATGTCTTTCAAAGGGTTTAAATTGAGCTTTGATCGGAAGCAGAAACATTTAACTTAGAAAATCTGCAACATATTGAGATGAAGTGAAGGAGAAAGTTTTCAAAAATTAGTACTTCGGTCTAATGATATTCCACTTCTCTTGTAAGTGAGAGGTATTAGGTTCGATTCTCGCCAAAGATGAATTTAAACCACATTATTGCTAGTTCATTGTGAGGCTCAGCCCATCCTCTTGCCTACATTTAAAAAAAAAAGAAAAAAAAAAATTAGACTTCAATAACCTTGGACTTTTTAAGTCCCCCCATAGCTTACAATTTCTACCCCTTTGGTAAGTGCCTTCACATTGAAATTTGCAAATTAAAACTACCTCTAAAAGATAATTAGTGGAAGTTTCATTTCATCTTCTCTCGGATAAAATATTTAGACTATTAAATGAGAGTTTTGATCATCAGAAGCACGAATGAATATACATTACTCATCATCTTCATCCTTATCTTGTGGATGGTTGGTAGGTTTGTCTTATTCGGTTTTTTGTTTTTTGTTGATTTCAATACTCTTTTTAACTTTTTGCATTCTCTGTTAGTTTTGACCGTTAATTTTAATTTAATTGTTTAATTTAACAGCTACAAACAAAAAGAATGTGTAAAAATTATTTCCCCTTTTTTGTTTAATACAAGTGATAACGAGAAAAGGCAACTTGCACTCAGGACCTCACATACATGAAAGAATGCTATCAACCACTAAGCAACACACACACAATCCGGTCTTTTAAGTTCCTTGTACAGAAATTCCAGAGATACGTGGATTGTATGCTTGAAAATTAGTCGAACATGCACATTGACATGCTTGGAAGTTTAAATCGAGTAAGTGGCTTGCAGAATGGTCTCAAAGCCAAATGGACTTGCAAATGAGGCAACAAGTTGAAACACTAACTACCCAAGAATGATAAAACTTCCACAGGTACAAAATTATAAACAAAGTTATATTCGGCACTAATCGGGCAGCGGGTAGAGTCTAGTGCCTAAGCGTCTAGGTGAGACCTAATTTTAACAAAAATTATTAAAACATATGAATAAATGTCTACTAGATTAAAAAATAATAATAATAACATAATTGTATTGTAATATATAAATTGAAAAATATAATGACTTGTAAATTTTAAATACCAGAACATATTGAAAATGTGGAAAGAAGCATATAGTGAGTGTTAATCCAACTAGCTATCATAAAAGTCTCTTACAATTTATTAGAAAATAAAATACAAAATGAAAGATAAAATTTATGTCTAAGTATGAATCATGACCTAAGCTCTAGACGGATGCCTAAAGTAGGTCTAGACGTCATTTCTTATTTTTTAAATGCTTATACATTACCGTGACGTTGCCCAACTGCCTAACCGGTGCTTTTAAGAACACTGACTATAAAACATATATAGCCATCATCATATAAGAAGTGGAGGAGGTGCAGAGCCTGCCTGTGACTTGGTTGGGTTTTTAATGGGTGAAGGCGGCGACGACTTAAGGATTAATCTTAGGCTGCGCCGGACGGGCACAGTTTTCTTGCTAACAATCTCACTTTGGCAACCAAACTTCCCTTCTTTTCTTCTAATCATCGTCGTCGAGCCATCTCCACAGTCAACCTGCGATAAAGTATTCTTCTCGTTGCCTTCAGCCACAAGAAAATCGCAGCAAGAAAGAAAATTGTCAGTTGCAAGAAATTATCCTTGAAAACTTATATTAAAGCTGAAAAACGCCAACAAGAAAAACATCATTACCATGAGGAAGTGATGAAGAAGTTGCAGGAAAAACACCGAGAAGAAGATACAATGCTGCAACAACTAAAACCAACTTTGCTAGAAAACTGCTCATCTTTGTAAATTGCAGGAACAAGAACTTGATGAAGCCTTCAGTATGAACTTATTTGTAGCGAATCTAGCGATCCTATTTAAGGAGATTGATGACCCTGAAAGCAAGCAGACTCGTTGCGAAATGACACTGAAATATATTATAATTATTGTTTTTTTGCTTAATTTAATGAGAATTTGGTACAAATTGCATTGTTTAAGGTTTATGTTTAAGATTATGGAGTTGACATCTACTTTCACAAACGTTTACTACTCCCGTTGCTTTCTAGGAAGGCAATATCAGTCACCATAGCGACACAATTTGACTTTGGATTTTTGACTTAAATTTAAATACAACTGGCACAACTGAAACGACAAAAACCAGCCCATTTGTTTGAAAATTCTGAAAACCTTGGCTTTTGACGAAGAAGCTGCAGGTGGTTAATTATATATATTGTTCTCGAAAGCTTTAATGTCTAGAACCAATTCATATGCAGCTTGTGAAGTCAAAAATAATCAAGAAAAATATGGATGGGACACGTAGATTTTTGGGTAAAAAAGATAAGATTACCTTCGAGGCACACCGGGATTTCTATGCATAAGTAGTGGGCAATCATCCCTCAATCAAGTCAAAAGTGCCCAAAATAAGTATTTATTCAAAACATATTTAATTCATCCATCCTCATCAAATCTTCTCCACAAGGTAACCCCCAAATCATTCATTTCTAATTATATTAATTAGCTAATTAATTGATTTATTACCTAATTAATTTATTAATTAGCTAACCAATCAGGAATCTCATCCAAAAAACCATCTAAGTAGCCGATCCTCTTCCTCCCAAAGGGGCCGGCCGGCCACACCCTTTTATAAACACCCTCATTTTCTCCAAAACCTAAGTTCTACACTCGCAAAATTCTCCAAATTCTTTAAACATTTTTCCCTCAAAATTCTAACTTTGGCATCGGAGGTTCTTCAGTCAAAGCCCCCCCAACAAAAATTCATTGTGGGCGCTTAAGACTCTTGGCCTTAACCTAAGGTGTTATTTGTTTTGTAGGTGCAATTTTGTTCAAAATCAAGAAGGAAGAAATTTGTATCCACAAATTGGTGCTTTCATTGAGAGTTTGATTCACACGTTCGAAGAAGACTCTCACATTCAAAGTTTCTTGTTTCTCGTTTGTTCGTAAATTTTTCATACCTTCTTATCCCTACAATTTTTTAATTCTCTGAATAGAGGTGAGGAAAAAAAATACAATGATGGGAAATTTGGAAACCATGACGAACGGAACTTCCTACATTCAAAGATCCGGATCAAATGATGGAGGACAAGACGTAGCCCTACCACGACGATCCATGAGGTTCAAAGCGATGGCAAGAGGATCAACTTTGTCACTACAGAGCACCAGCACCATGGCAACCACGGGGACCACTGTGGCAGAGGGGAGTGGGCCAGCTCCATGGCAGCAAGCCCACGGTAAGCAGCGAGCAGCGAGGCGGCCACAAGCCTAGGCCCACACCACTTTGAAATAGCCCAAGCCGCAACCCTAACAGCGCATGCCCAAGTCTCGTCCACTTGGCGCACGACCCAATCTACAACGCACACTGCAAGGCAGCTGAGCCAGGCCCAATATGAGCTGGCCTGAGCCACTACCTCAGCACCGCAGGCCGAAGCAGCTGCGGCAGGAAAAACAACTTAACACGCTCCCAAGCCAAGCCCAAGCTCAACATGCACGCACACCGCAACCCACTCTAGTGGTGTCCCAAGCAGCCCAAGCCGATCTAAGACCAGTTCAACCATCCAGCTCCAAATTTCTATGTCAACGATTGAACCAGGGGCATTTTCACCCAATTTTTCCAGTGATTTGACATTTCCCAACTCAAATCTCACACCCAGAGTCTACCATACTTCCACTACTCAAGGAGATGTATTTCGTCCAAGCTCTTCTAACCCGAATGAAGAACAACACTTGTCTCAACAAGTCATAAAGTTGATAAGCGTCTTCGAACAGCAGACGACCTTAGTAAATTAGCTCTTGCAGCATACCAAAATGCAACATGCCCCTGACGAGGTGTCCCAAAGTAAGACAAAGGCCGACAAAAAACTCTCTAGTAGCGTTCCGACAAGCAATTACTTGACCAGCCACAAATCGATCGTTCCAAAAGTGTACACTCTCAACTAGGCCCCCGAGATAGCGTATATTCTCATCTTAGCCCGCAAAGGAGTGTGCACTATCAGTTAGGCCCATGAACAAACATACACTCACGGTTAAGGCCACACTCCGATAATCAACATAACCAACCTTTCAGGCAAAATGTTCATTCATGGCAAAGCCCGCAAGGACCATCATCCACCTCACATCGAAGTAGACAGCACAGTGGACGAAGAGAAATAGTCACTCAATCTAGCTCAAGTTCAACCAGCAATCTGTGAATTACCCGCTCGTCTACTAGGAACATAACATATGCACCGCAGCCGCGGTATAGATGAGCCGAACACATGGAAAAACAACCTAGACCAACAGGTCACGACTGGGAGCAGCCGAGAGCTCCACTACCCTAACAAAGGTATATTAAAGAAAAAGTAAAGAGGCTCATGACCAAGCGATTGTGCGATTTCCAACGCAATAAAGCTACTGACGAGGCGGTCCGACGAGACATGACCAACATAATCGGGTCACCTTTCATTGACAAGATCAAGCAGACGAAACTATCCCACATAGGTTGTCGGATACAAAGATTACTTCTGTTTCAACAAACGCAGCAGCTCAGCCTAATGGCTTGTCGAGGGTAAACGAGTACCGGAATGACACATCAGCCCAACTACCAAAAACCGAGGGCAAGCCTTGTTCTCAACACTCTAGACGATTCAATACTGAAGCAGCACATCACCAAGAACTGAGCATCATGGACTTAGTGGTCCAATTTCTCCTACTGCCCACAACCTGACCCAAGACAACCTCAACTTTGCTTTCATAGCTATACCTACCTGTTCCACGGCTCCCAACATCCATTGATCTATCATCATAGCTTATAACTGTGATAATCTTGCACCACGGCTCCTAGCCGTGCCGATCTTGCCCTATGGCTCGAGCTAACCAAGGCTCAAAATGGCACACGACGAAACACCTAATGATGACGCAATAATTCTGGGAACAACTCATTGCGCTTACACCCTTACGTGGGTTCCATAAGCAGTTCGCCAAACAAGACCTCGCAGGCTGAGGATTATTTCAGTTGTCCAGCAGTCCAACTTTCCTCAACTGCATTCACGACAATGACTTCTATGTTCTCCAGTGCGAGAGGGTAAACCAATCCCTTGACACTCATTTAGATCTGCTCTGTAGTGCGAGAAGATAAACTAATTGATTTCCAATGCGAGAGGGTAAACCAATTCTCCAACACCCATATAGGTCTGTTCTCCAGTGCGAGAGGATAAACTAATTGCTTTCCAGTGCGGTAGCGTAAACCAATTCCCCGACACCCATATAGGTTTGCTCTCTAATACAAGAAGATAAACTAATTGATCTCCAATGCAAAAAGGTAAACTGATTCCCCGACACCCAAAAGGGTTTGCTCTCTAGTGCAAGAGGATAAGGTAATTACTCTCCAGTGCGAGAGGGTAAACTAATTCCCCGACACCCATATGGGTTTGCTCTCCAGTGCAAGAGGATAAACTAATTGATCTTCAGTGCGAGAGGGTAAACCAATTCTCCAACACCCATATGGGTCTACTCTCTAATGCGAAAGGTTAAATTAATCACTCTCTAATGCGAGAGGGTAAACCAATTCCCTGACACCCATATGGGTAAGCTTTCTAGTGCGAGGGGGTAAACCAATTGCTCTCCAATGCGAGAGGGTAAACTAATTGCTCTCCAATGCGAAAGGGAAAACTAATTCCCCGACACCCATCTAGGTAAGCTCTCCAGTGCAAGAAGGCCGAATAACTCAAAAGATCGAATGCTTGAAGACCAACTAGGCAGCAAATGGTCAGGGGCAGCAACCACTTTGCACTCAACTATTCGCTCATCCGACATTTCATCTTCAGCAACTCCAATCTTGGCAGCTCTATCTACGACTGCTAAGAAATCAAGCTCAAACAGTTTCCTCATTTTTGGCAAGCAGCCCATGCCACGCCACTTCCTCGGCTCATGCCTAGCTAGTCCTTGGCTTTAATCAAGCCGAGTAGCACAAGCACTGGCCCCTGCCATGCCACCTCCTTAGCCCATGCCAAACCGACTCTTGGCCTTTGCCAACCAACGTGCCGCACCACCCCTACGGTTGCCCGTGGCAACACCACCTAAGAAGAAGACAAGAAGAATTAAGTTTTTCTTACATCGGTGTGGTGAGGAGAAGACAAAAAAATTCAGCGAAAGATGGTTCTTTGCACGGGCAAGCAAAGAATAGTGCTAGGGGAGGAAGAACAAATATCCTTTAGTTTTCTCTCTTTCTTGTAGGGACAGATAATTGCCCTCCAAAGTTGATTTAATCACATACTTAAGGTAGGCTTAAATAGGCTTTGGAGACGATTTATTTCCCTTTCGTAGAAGAATCTAATTCCAAGTCCAAGTGAGAATCTGCATTAAAGCTGGAGATTCCTACACCTGTTGCCCTTTCCTGCGAGCAACTCAGTAGGTGTGGGGGCATTTGTGGAGCCAAAAATAATCAAGAAAAATATGGAGGCGACACATGGATTTTTGGGTTAAAAAGACAAGATTGCCCTCAAAGCATACCGAGATTTCTACGCAGAAGCAATGGGCAATCATCCCTCAATCAAGTCAAAAGTGCCCAAAATAGGTATTTATTCAAAACCTATTTCATCCATCCTCATCAAATCTTCTCCACAAGGTAACCCCCAAATCATTCCTTTCTAATTATATTAATTAGCTAATTAATTGATTTATTACCTAATTAGTTTATTAATTAGCTAACAAATCATGAATCTCACCCAAAAAACCATCCAAATGGCCGATCTTCCTCCTCCCAAAAGGGCTGGCCACACCCCTATATAAACACTCTCATTTTCTCCAAAACCTAAGTTCTACACTCTTGCAAAATTCTCCAAATTCTCTAAACACTTTTCCCTCAAAATTCTAACTTTGGCATGGAGGTTCTTTGGCCAAAGCCGCCCCCCCCCCCAACAAAAAAAAAATAAATGATCGTGGGCGCGTGAGGCTCTTGACCTTGACCTAAGGTGTTATTTGTTTTGTAGGTGCAATTTTGTCCAAAATCAAGGAGGAAGAAATTTGCATCCACACAACTCTCTTGTATTTTAAGAGAAATACTTTGTGCAAGATGTATAAATTCTTTTTCAAAGACCGACATGTCGGGAAAATTAGCCTCTGCTGTGTTTAATTTTGATCCCATTTGTTAATATGATTGAT